CCCCCCCCCCGTGAAGTATGTCAATTACACCTGATTTTAATTTAATTCTCCTAAAATTCATATTTCTTGTAGGTGTGTTATTCTTATAAGTAAATCCAGGCTTAGTGCCTCAGCCTGTAATCCCAGCACTTTGGGAGGCAGAGGCGAGGGAATTGCCTGAGCCTGAGGGTTCGAGGCCGGACTGGGAAACTTGGTGAGACCTTGTCTCTACAAAAAAAAATCTAAAAGAATTCTCACAAATACATTTGTCTTAACCTCCCTAGCCTCCCAGCCTCCCCTCTCTCTGCCCTTCTGTCTTCAGGAAGAGCTGCAGAGAACTGGGACAGAGACCTATTTTATTTATTTATCTATTCATTTATAGAAATCAGGATTTTTTAAGAGGACAGAAAAGCTCCACAGTAGGAGGGGACCCGAGGGGGTTGCCCAAGACCGATTTTATATTCCTCAAAATTCTGATATAGAAAAATACGAATGGTCTCAGACTGAAAGGGCATGATGCAACACCTCGGATCACAGAACAAGAGAATTCCCAAGCCAGTACAGAAGAACATGAGGCTAACTCTCAGGATACAAGTACAATTAAACAATGTGTCCGAGAGACTGCAAAGGTGACAAAAATAAAAGTGACGATAAGTGAGTGATCAACTCTTCACCTATCCCCTTGGGAAGATGTGCAGTTTCAAACTGCTCATCAATATTTGCATAACAAATGAATTAAGATGTTCCATTTTTTAATGAGAATGGGTCTGATTAGATTTTTATTTTTGTTTTTGGGGTTTTTTTTTGTTTTTGTTTTTGTTTTAGTTGGAGTCTCACTCAGTCGCCCAGACTGGAGTACAGTGGCCGCTCCCGGCCACCGCAGCCTTGGCCTGCTGGGCTCCGGTGATCCTTCCGCCTCAGCCTCCTGAGTAGCTGGAACTACAGGTTCGTGCTACCACACCTGGCTAATTTTTTTTTTTTTTTTTTTTTTTGAGTTGGAGTCTCACTATGTCACCCAGACTGGAGTGCAGTGGTCACTCCCGGCCACCGCAGCCTCGACCTGCTGGGCTCCGGCGATCCTTCCACCTCAGCCTTCCGAGTAGCTGGAACTACAGGCGTGCGCTACCACGCCTGGCTAATTTTTTGATATATTGTGGAGATGAGGTCTCGCCAAGTTGCCCGGGTGGGTCTCAAACCCGCGGGCTCAGGCAATCCACTCACCTCAGCCTCCCAAAGGCGCGGGATTACAGGCTGAGTCACCGAGCCTGGCTTAATGTTTTATTTATTGTAGCGATGAGGTCTCACCAAGTTGCCCAGGTGGGTCTCGAACCTGCGGGCTCAGGCAATTCACTCACCTTGGCTTCCCAAAGTACAGGATTACAGGCTGAGCCACCGAGCCTGGTCAGATTTTTATTTTTGAATCAGGGTCTCACTCTGTCACCCAGGCTGGAGTGCAGTGACTTGACCAAGGCTCACCGCAGCCTCCACCTCCTGTGCTCAGGTGATCCTCCCTCCTCAGCCTCCTGAGTAGCTGGGACTGCAGGCACATGCCACCACACCTGGCTAATTTTGTGTATGTGTGTGACGGGGTCTCACTATGTTGTCCAGGCTACGATTAGATTTAGCTATAGCAGCCCGCATGTCAGAGAGCAGCATGGGCATGGGGCATCCTCTCGCTGGTGCCTGCAACCACCAACACTTGCTCTCCGCTGCTCTAAGGACACCGTTGCCTCAACCAGAATGACCCCGCCTGCAGGGAGGAGCACATTTTGGAAGCGGTCCGCAGGAGGTCATGACCAAGCGGCAGCCAGCGTCGCCTTGAGATCGAAAGGACAAGGATGCTCTAACTGGAATCCTGGACCCGGAAGGGAACTTTAACCCGGAGCAAAGACTGTCCCGAGCATCCCATGGCAGGGGGGGACGTGCGGGATGCTGAGAGAATGGAGAGTGAGTGCAGGACAAGCCTGCGGGGGTGTGCGGAGGGCAGAGAAGGAGCTCCCCAGGCCTCAGGAACCACAATCCTCCTGGAGGCTTCTGAGAAATACAGAGTGCGAGGTGATGGACTTTCCTGTTGTGTTTTCCACGTATCTAGACAAGGAATTGAGAAGAAGCAGCATTTGTGGGAAGTTCTCAGCTCTTGAGCTCAGACGCAGGGCACAGGGCCCTGCCAATTCCATCACTAATATGGATTTCCTCATCCTGGGCACGCAGTAGCCTAGTGGAGTCAAATATTTGATGTAAAGCAAAAGACACCAAATTTCAGGCTGGGAATGGTGGCACATGCTTGTAATCCCAAGCACTTTGGGAGGATCACTTCAGGGCAGGAGTTTGATCACTTCAGGCCAGCCTAGGCAACATGGCGAGAACAAAAATCAAAAATTAGCCAGGTGTGGTGGTGTGCACCTGTAGTCCCAGCCACTTGGGTGAAGCAGAAAGACGGCCTGAACTCAAGAGGTTGAGGCCATGGTGAGCCATGATCGTGCCCTCCAACCTGGGTGACAGAGACTCCGACTCCAAAAAACAGGACCAAATTTCAGAAACGAGAATTGCAATCAGACTCTGCTAAGCAGTCTCAGCACGAGTCCTCCCCACTGGTGCCAGCTCACAACCCTTCCTGTCTCCAACTCTTGGAAGCAGCGACCTTCCCTCCCTCCCAGAGCCCCCTGAGCTGCCTCCTGCCCCTTGTTCAAAGAGACCCTGAAATCCACTTTGTCCAAAAAAAATCGCCTGCTGGGGCAGGGGAGGAACCCCAGTGGCACTCCTGCCTCCTCTGAACACAGCCTGGTCCCCGGCCCCCTCCCCAGCTCCCGGGCTGGCTGAAAGCGATGGATCGCAGGACACCACGCCACATGCCTGGGTTCGGTTTGTGCTTTTATTCTGAAGCTGGCAGGTCAGCGTACGGTTGCCTCCCTGGCCTGACACCGACACCCCTCTAGGCCTCTGCCTGCTTCCTCCTCTCTCCTGCTGTTCCTCCCCCAGCCGGGCACAGGCCTGCCTTCCTCGAGGTCCCAGGCCCGCTCTGGGGGCTGATCCTTGGAAAGGAGCTGTCTGAGGGATCTCCTCGGGGACTTCTAGGACGTCGTTCGACTAAACCACCACCATTTGTGTTTTGACAGGGAGGCAGTGGGAATCAGAAGCTTAATTGGACCGTGTGAAAGGAGGGGCCCAGAAGCCTTGCTTGGCTGGCTGACCAAAGGTCACAGGTCACGGGCTGTCTGGGACCAGAGCCTTCAGGACACTGACTGACTTCTGGACCCGGAAGGGAACTTTAACCTGGAGCAAAGACTGTCCTGAGCATCCCCTGGCAGGGGGGGACGTGCGGGACGCTGAGAGAATGGAGAGCGAGTGCAGGACAAGCCTGCGGGGGTGTGTGGAGGGCAGAGAAGGAGCTCCCCAGGCCTCAGGAACCACAATCCTCCTGCCTTGAAGCGACTGCCCCCTGAGAAAAACTGACCTTGGGCCTGTGGTCCAAAAATAAGGAGTTAATCAATAAGAGGAAGACAAACAACTCTCGGGTTGTCCCTCACGGACCTCACGTAAAAGCCTGAGGGCCAAGTCAGGACCTTCTGAGCAATGCACTCAAGACCTGTCTGGATGAGACATTGGGGCACGTGCAGGGGTTGGGGAGCAGAGCCCAGGGAGAACAACAGGGCGCCAGAGGGGGTATCCTTTCTGCCACTGGCCACCTCTCAGGCACCCTGAGCAGGGAAGAGAACAAGGCTGGCCACCTCTCAGGGCTACGGCCCCCAGCTGGGACACCCTCAGGCCAGCCTGGTGGGCCATGTCAGGGTGGGCGGCATGTCCGCCTGCATGCATGTGCGTGTTCTAGGCCAGAGGGGTGAGGGTAAGTAGTGTGGGGACTGGGAGAGATGGGAGGGTGCTGGGTTGCAGGGTAGAAATACAAATCCAGAAGAGCACACCCAGGCTGTGCCCGGTGGGCATCCTGAGACCGGGCAAGCGCCTAGAAGTTGATGCTCTTCAAGTCCATGGAGCAGCGGTACCTGCCGTCTGGGAACCGTGAGCACAGCAGGCTGGGCGAACAGGGACAGGTATGGTGCTTGCGCTTCCGGAAGAAGGGTAGCTGGGAACAGAAAAGGCAACACTTAGCCGGGCTCGGGGGCTCAGCGGTCCCTGCTCTCCAGTCTAGGAGTGACAGACTGAGACTCCAACTCAAAAAAAAAGAAAAGGCAACACTTTACCATGGAAGGTGGATCTCCTACAGCAGCCTCAGGCCCCAGCCCTGGCCAATGTCTCACCCCACAGCCGGCCCTGCTCCCTCCACCTAGCACACGATAACAGCGATCAGAGATGAGGACACAAGCACAGAGTGATCAAGCAACATGCCACAGTCACACAGCTAGTGTGTGGAGGAACTTGAACCCAGGCAATCCGGCCCTGGAAATCCGGCATGTGTGTGCACACACCTGTTGATTGAATGTCGATTGCCCACCCACTACGTGCTCACCCCTCTGGTGGGTGCCCGAGTGCCTCTGGGAACAAGACAGCGCCATCTCTGCCCTCCGTCTCACACACCTCCCCTCGGCCCACCCGCCCATGGGCGGTGTCCTCGCAGTACCTTGTGGCTGCCCGGGTGGCACTCCTCGCCTTCCCGCCCCAGTGGGGTGCACATTCGCAGCCCATGCAGCCACAGGCTGACGGCACAGCAGGTGCCCGCCCCACACTGGATGTCCCGCTCGCAGGCCTAGGGGAGAGAAGAGGGGTGACAGCCCATTAGTGCCACCGAGAGAAGCCCAAGGGAAGGGTGGATTCAACAGAAATGGGGGGGGGAGCGAGTGGAAGCGGCGCCCCTGGCCTCAGCCTGACAAGACACCCTGGCCTGGCATTATGGCCCAGGCTCCCTGCATGGGAAGCAGGCTCGGGGCTCAGCAGAGCCCAGACCTGGATCGGAGGGACTGTCCACATTCCCTGGAGGTCACCCAGTAGAGAGACAGTCAGGAGACTGGAAAGTATACTTTTCTGGGCTCGTGGGCGCTCAGTAGATGCTGGTGGGATTGAATGGATTAGAGTTCTTGGAGGGGGAGGGGTCCTTATGACCCAAACCCCGGCTGGTTGGTGCTGAGTAGTCTTAGACCAGGATTCTCCAGCCCTGACCCAGCACCCATGGTCAGTGCCCCCGTCCCGTGGCCGCCCCCCTCGGCCCTGAGAGGCCCAGCCTCATCTGAAGAGCCAAAGGGGCCTCTCCCAGCGCTTTCTTGCTGACCTCCCTGATCCCCAGATAGGGATGGACCCCTCTTGGTTGGGCTCCCAGAACTGAGACTGAGGGCCCCTGCCTGATTTCTGAAAGGTGTCATTTGTAATGAGGGCCTGACGAGCTCACTCTGAACTGCCCCAGGCTCAACAGGGGACTTGATGGGGAAGCAGTCACAGTTTCCACTTCCAGAGAAGCTTCGTGGTTTTTCCAAGCTGCAATTCCAAGCTGGATTTTGGTTCAGTCTTCTCCAGGAGAAGGCTGTGGACACCTTCAGGCTGCCCGTGATAGGACTTGGAGGGAAAGAGGGGATGTCTGGTCTACTTGTCACTCGAAGGTGGCAGGTGTGTGTGGCAGGTACCCAGCTATGTTGATCTCCAGCCCAGCGAGGGCATATCTCACTCCACCAGCCCCCTGGGAGCTCAGGGCTGGGGGAAGGGAGACCCTCCTTGACTCGTCTTCCCCCACAGGGGTGGAACGTTGCAGTGTCACTCTGGAAGGACGGGCCCTGAAGCCCTGAAATCAGGGACGGTCACAGACCAGGAAGCAGCGGGTTGTGGAGATGGTAAGACCCGGCCCACGGTGAGAGTCAGATGTGGGGCGCCCCAGGACACGGAGGGTAGAAGGAGGCTGGGGCTTCCCATTGCCCCCTATGCCCTGTTCTAACTGCCTTGTCTTGTCATAAGTTTCCTCTTATGAAAATGTCTCCCACAGGGCTTTCCCCACCCACCTGGGACCTGCCTGCCCTGAGCCACTCCAGGTTGGATGTTGGAGCTGGCACAGATGGTGAGGGTACCCTGCTCCCAGCCTCTCCCCTCCCAGATCTCCAGGCTCCACGCTAGGACAGCCTTCAGCGGTTTCCCTCACGAGGTATAATTCTGCCTTCACAATTTTATTTATGCTTTGGGTCTCAAAGGCATTGGCTTTCCTTTAATATGTGTTCTTCTTTTGAACTCAGTCTTATGCTTTTAAAAAGGAAAAGAAAGAAGTTCTCCTTTCTGTGAATAGTAAAACTAATCCAGTTCCAGGAATTGTTTGGCATCTGTCTACATTTCCATTCTCTATGTAAAAAGTTGGAGGGGGTTGAAATAAAAATTAATTTCCTCTCTTCTTTTTGTCTGGAAAGCTCTCGGGTAAAGCACTACTTTCTGTTTTAAGAAGAATGGTTCTTAAACACTGTAACACAGTGTTTGTCCCCATTCCAGAGTGGTTAAAAGCAAAGGCAAAAATCTGAGATAGAATCACGATCTGAATATTTTGACCACTAAATTACGCAGTGCCCCGTGCTGAGTCTATGCTTCGAGACCAGATTTCTCCTTGTTATCTGAATGCTTGCTTTCGGGTATACTGAGTCAAACGTGAGTGTCACACATATTCAGAACTAGCTGGGCAGGCACAGAGTGAAAGAATTTCAAGATACCCTTTCTAAGAGTGGAGAATGCAGAGGCTAAACCTACACATTAGAAGTTAATAAGCTTACTGTCTTTAATTAAGCTGACTGCCTTTAATTAAGTCAACAGGCTATGTAAATGAAAGTTGCCACGTGGACCAGACCGTATAGGAAAATAAAAATCTGCACGAACACGAATGATGGCGTGCCAATCCACTTCGTAAAGGAATTCCTCATTACACAGTTGGAATCTTCATCTTACCCAAGGCTGGAACTTCAAGATGTTCAGTGCTCTCCGCATGCGTTTAAAAGGGGACTTGATTTATGCATGGCTTTTCCAAAGCAGATCCCGTTTGGCAGAGTGAGTTCTAACTACTCTGAAAACTACACGCAGCCCCTCTCGGAAGCGCCGTCTAATGGCTAAGTCCCCAGCCCTTTGGTTTGCAGTGGTCCCTGGGCTCGTGTCCCCTGCAGACCCTGACACCTTCCCAAAACCCAGGGCAGAGAGAATGTGAGCCAACTTACCCCAGTGATCACAGCACAGTCAGACACCATTACTAGGAGGAGCACGATGGAGACTCGCATGGCACCTTTCATGGTCACTTGGGATGAAGACAGAACACTGCCCGCTTCGATGCTGCTTGCTTTCCTCTGAATCAGCCCGGTGCCCGACAAGCTGGGAAGGCCAGGCTCTCCTGCACCCCTACACCCCCCGCCAGATGTCCACGGTCAGCATCCAGGGCTGCCTGTGGCCACCTCGCCTCTGCTGTTCTCTTCCCATCACCGATGTTATTCAGATGATCTCAGAGGCGAAGATGAGACCTGAATCCCTAACTACCTCAAATCACCATCAAAACCAATAAAAATGGATACTTCGGGGGCTCTGACAGTTGCTCTAACTCTCCCCAGGATGCAGTGATTCAGGCAGTTATGTGCATTTCACTCCATGTTCTTTTCTGCCTCTGGGCATTCTGCTTGCGGCAGGGGGAGGAGAGGGCTGCGGTAATGAATTAGGGGATTTACAGCATCACCATTTATCTTCCCTGCACCAAACCATGCAACATACATGCTCAAGCTGACAAGAATTACCTGGGCATTCACCACCGGCTCAACACAGAGGTAGCTGAGAAGACACAAGAGGGGAAGGTGGTATCCCTGGTCCTCTAAAAGGTTAAAACTCCAGTGAGGAGACATGAAACAGCGGGAGGTGGGGGGAGATCATGTCTGTGGGGTTGATGATTCTGAGTGGTACACACGAGGAGTTGCTCTCTCATAGGCTCAGTACCAACATCGGTAAGTGTCACTTGGCACAGGGACCAAAGGGCAGAAGATGGGCAAGCACAGGCCCCACTGTGTCAGCATTCCACAGAGACCCAAGTTGGGCTGGGGTGCAGCTAAAAGGTACCAGGAGCCACACCACCGGCCTTGCTGTTTTATGGAGTGAGCATGCATGTAGCCTCATCTGTGTGTATACAAACACGGTAGGCTCAGGCGCCAGTCATCTGGGAAGCTGGTTGTAGACACTGCCCCTTCTACTACCAGGGAGACCCCCGCACCCCAGGCCTCTCTGTGCCAAACAGCCTAGAAAGAGCCCCTGATCCTCTGTCAGACAATCCATCTTGTCTCCACAATAATAAAAGCCAGCCGGGGTCGGTGGCTCAGCCCGTAATCCTGCGCCTTTGGGAGGCTGAAGTGAGTGAATTGCATGAGCCTGCGGGTTCGAGACCCGCCTGGGCAACTTGGTGAGACCTCATCTCTACAATAAATCAAAAATTAGCTGGGCGTGATAGCACACGCCTGTAGTTCCAGCTATTCGGAAGGCTGAGGCGGAAGGATCGCTGGAGCCCAGCAGGTCGAGGCTGCGGTGGCCGGGAGCGTGCCACTGCCCTCCAACCCGGGTGACAGAGTGAGACTCCAACTCAAAATAATAATAATAATAATAAAAGCCAGTATTTCCCGAGGTATGTGTTACAGTATGTTAATAGGTGTTCCACACACAAATTAAAAAAATAAATAGGCCAGGCACAGTGGCTCACACCTATAACCCTAGCACTCTGAGAGGCTGAGGAGGGAGGATTGCCTGAGTCCAGGAGTCCAAGATCGGCCCAGGCAACATAGTAAGATCTCATCTCTACAAAAAAATAAACAACTTAGCCAGATGTGGTAGCGTGCCTGGAATCCCAACTACTCCAGTGGCTGAGATGGAAGGATCACCGGATCCCAGGAAGTCGAGACTGTGGTGAGTCATAATCAGGCCACGGCACTCTAGCCTGGGCAACGGAGTGAGACTTTGACTCAAAAATTAAACTTTAAATTTAAAAAAAGAATACTACAGCCAAAGATTTGGGAACTACTAAGTTATGCAAGCTAAAGGAACTTATTTTTTACAAGACTGATTTTCAGGGCCTTTCATAGACTAGCAAATATTTGAAACAAGTTGGAAATGCAATTCATAGTCGCTCCCAAACAAACTCATCTACAAAACACTTTTTTCTCAAGGTGCCTCATAGGTTTAAGGTTCCTTTTTATGGCTGACAGACATTAATGAGAGAGACACTAACTAGCATACCAGCTGGGAGCTAGGCCCCCAGAGGCAGACGCTTGGAAGGCTGATGGATCACTTCGTGACCTTGAGAATATCGCTGATCTCTCCAAGTCTCGGTTTTCTCCTCTGTAACATGGGCGTAAGAATAGAACTTACATCATGGAATTTTGTGAATATCCATCTGTTTATTTATTCATTGCCTATATGTTTATTGAGTGCCTACTGTGTTGAGGCAATGTTCTTGGTGCTGGGAATACAGCAGTGAGCAAAACAAGGTTTCTGTCGTCATGTAATTTTGAGGAGACAGGTAAGAGACAAGCAGATTTGTGATAAAATGGTCAGGTATGCTGAGCACTGTGAAAAAGGAAGACAGGAAAGCAACAGAACTTGATGATGGCTGGTATTTTATACCAGGTAAGGTTCTCTCTGAGAAGACTCTTGAGCAGAGACCTAATAAAGAGAAGGAGGGAGCTGTGCACAGCCTGGAGAGAAAAGCTAGTACAGAGGCCCGGAGGTAGGGCTTCTTGGCCAGTTCCAGGAGAAGTCAGAGCTAGGAGAGTGGGGAAGACTGGAAGGGGATGCAGTTGGAGCAGGAGCCAAAGGCCAAATTCTGCTGGCCTTGTGGGATGTGGTGGGGACCCAATTCCAAGTGTGATGGGAACCCTTGGAGAGTTTGGAGCCAGGAAGAGGCAGAATCTCACTGAGTGCAGAAGGAGAATTAAGTGAGGTGATGTACTGAAGCACATAGCACGGTGCCCAGCCCAGCAGCATTTGCTAACACAGACAAGTTTTATTATCGACACATGGGTCTGCCTGCCTTAAGATAAAATTCTCCTGCGAGGTGAGAATCAAAGTAGAGTCTGAGTGGGGCTGACCACAGAAGAATCAAGAGACCACCCCAGGCTTTTGGGGACTTCCATGCAGGGAAAAGGCGACTTAGGGAGAAGGCAGCACCTTGCAGGGGGCTTGGAGTTGCTCACAGAAGCGTCCCTGTGCCCTCTGGGCGCCCTTCATAGACTGCCTTACCTCCCACAAGTGTCTTCCAAGAGACAATGTTAGACAATGACTGATTCTCAGGCTAACGCCCTCCCATTCACTCCCCTATTCTCATCCCCTCCCTCCCAGCTTCTCCCCACAACACACAAACCTAATCATCTCATGTGATTGCAGTGAAGGATGGTAGCGAGAAGCATCATGGCAAAACAAAACCACTAGCAGTGACAAAAATGTCTTACATTTCTTGAATGCTAGAGCTTGAGAAAAAGTCCATTTAATTAGAGGAGGGTGAGGGATAGATGGTGACTTTGTGCAAACCTCAGAAGAGACTCTGGGAGCTTCTAGGATAAGTGGCGCTGATTTTTTTTATTTTTTTATTTTTTATGTTTGAGTTGGAATCTCACTCCATCACACAGGCTGAAGTGCAGTGGCACACTCACTGCCACTCCCACCTCAGCCCGCTGGGCTCCAGCGATTCTTCTGCCTCAGCCTTCCAAGTAGTTGGAATGACAGGCTTGCGCTACCATGCCTGGCTAATTTTTTTTTATTTATTGTAGAGATGAGTTCTCGCCAAGTTGCCCAGACTGGTCTTGAACTGCTCAGACAATCCTCTCACCTCAGCCTCCCTAAGTGCTGGGTTTACAGACTTAAGGCACCGCACCTGGCCTGCGCTAAATTTTTGTCTGTTTGTTTGCTTGTTTGTTTTTAATATTTTGATTTTATTAGTTGGAGTCCCACTCTGTCACCCAGGCTGGAGGGCAGTGGCACAATCCGGGCCCACTACAGTCTTGACGTCCTGGACTCAGGTGAGCATTCTGCCTCAGCCCCACAAGTAGCTAGAACTACAGGTGTGTGCCACATCTGGCTAATTTTTTGTAGTGCTGGTTCTTTTTTTTTTTTTTTTTGATTTGGAGTCTCACTCTGTCACCCAGACTACAGTGGCTGCTGCTGGCCACCGCAGCCTCGAACTGCTGGGCTCCAGCAATCCTTCCGCCTCAGCCTTCCAAGTAGCCAGAATCACAGGCATGTGCTACCACGTCTGGCTGATTTTTTGATTTATTGTAGGGATGAGGTCTCGCTGCCCAGGCGGGTCTCGAACCCACGGGC